GATATGTAGACAATAACAAATATTTGTAAGCTATCTTTGCCATAAATAAATAGAGGTGAGTCATCTAAAGACTCATGAAAACCATATTCAAGTAGATGTTTGGAAAGTCTTCAAAACCATTTTCTTGGGGCTTGTTTTAACATATATAAATATTTATGTACTATAAAAAAAGTCATGTTAAGACTAATCAATAAATCCTTTTGGTTGCTTTATAGATACCTTCTCATTCAATATGCTATGTGAAAAGGCATTAAAGACATCCAATTGATGAATAGGCTAATGAGAATTCACAACTAGTGTCAGAATTAAACAAATAGCAAAACATTTAATTACTGCAAAAAATGTCTCATGATAATCCATTCCATCAAATTGATCAAATTCTTTTGGCAATCAAGCACGCCTTATACCTTTCTATGTTGTCATCCTACTTTTTAATTTTGCATGCTTATTTGTTACGAACCACAAACTTATAAGATGGTCATGGACATAGGGACTATATATCATTGGCCATTAATAGATAAAACCCATGCCACTTAACATCCCACCATTAAAAAATAGACACAATATGCATAAAGCAACATGGTTATTGTTCATTATATATAATGGACAACACATGAAGAGTTGAACAATCAAATTTTAGATTTTAATAAAAAAAAGTAAATGGGATCAAAACATAAAAAGTAAAAAAAAAAAGTTTTTAAACAAAGATGTTATTTATTCTGTCACAAAAACTAAACAAGGTGAAAATTAGATCAAACCATATCAGAATTACTTGGAAATTGATATTTTGTTATTTGGAGTCTAATTGCACTATACATCAAATTTGAGGTTATTTGAATGTTGTTTGATTTAGGATCTAGATTCGAGTTTAGTTTATATAAAACAAGTCTAATTTGCATCAATTATTGAAACTTGCTTTGCTACTGCTGAAAGTGATTTAGGAAGTGTACAAAAGTTTCAATTAGGATATTTGGGTGCTTATCAAGTTTTTTTTATACTATTTTGTTTTTATTTTCTTCCATGTCTTAAAAAATGTTTATATCTCATACAAATACATTTACTACTCGTGAAATTGTATTTGTAGTTTTATCTTTGCTTGTTTTCATATATTTATTTCCTCTTGAGTCATTACATGTATTTCAATTATTTTACTAAGTTGTTCTATTTTGTTATGTTGAATTTCAAAGTAGAAATCCCAATTGACTAAAATACAAGAGGAGTGTAAAAACACAAGGGAGTAAGTGAATGAGAAAATAATTTTTTTTGTCACTAAAATATTTTACAAATTTAAAGATATCATACAACATTAATACCAACACTACTTATCAAAAATCAAGCTTTTCAAATTCAAGCCTTAACATAATAAATGGAAAGATTAAATAAGATAATATAGAGTTTAAAGAATAAGATGGACAAAAAGGAGCGTTTCCCTGCTTAAATTAATGATTTAAGAAAAAGTTGATCATTGTGAAACAATGTTAGGAGGCATGAAAGACATGTTTGTCTGGATATTGATGATGATTTTGATGGGATGGGTGATCAGAATTATGATAATTACCCTTTAAACCATTGATTAGTACTTAAAAGTACATTTTCATTAAGGTTTTATATCATCATATTACACTTAAAGTATCATTAAATTTCCTAACTTAAGCATGTTTTATAATAACATGGCTAATAATATAAGATATCTTTAATATATGATAAATATTCATTTTAAGTACAGGCATATCTTACAATTTAAAGGATTGATTGATTTGTTTAACAATTAAAATTGAGAAGACAAATGAGGGTTAAGC